TCACTTAATCACAAAAAAGGCAGCAGGGAAAACATACTTTTTAATTCATACCCAGAAAGGCCACGTTTCCAGACCCTCTGATGCTCTCCTAACAGTGAGCGTTCACCTACTACACACCGCTCAGGTACAAATCAGGATGCAAGAGGAAAAAGGGCAAAGTCATCCTGCACACAACACAGAGGGGCCCCACACCACTGCCAACGCTTCCTCTGTTGGCATCCTCTGAACACAAAGCCTTTGAACAGGACACCAAGACAGAGCCTTCCTTCTCCCAAGTATTGTTTTTGAAGGATCAACTTCTGTTTTATAAAGGTACAGAGGACATTATCATCTGCTTTACTTTTCATCTAAACATTGCTAGTTAGGGAGTCAGCTGCTGGAGTATAAAACAAACAGCCTCATCAGTGGTGCATACAAAACAGCTTTTGCTCAGGAGCTAACGTAGGACCGCTGGACTTTCCAGAACGGACCTTTTTAATGATTCTGTTTCTCCCACACTTTTTCATTGACCAGCACAAAAATCCAAACTTTGCCTCTTGTTTTACCAAGTTGTTTGTTGATTGAGTTACCTGCTCTTTAGGGAATTTCAGTGTGTCAGGCATCAGGCTAAGTAAACTCAGTAACTGACCTGAGAATAGTTACTCCAATACATCTAAGGCTTTCTGTACAATAGATTTTAGAGTTAAATTTCAAAATTTTGAAATCAAGAAAATGGATGCACCCCAAAGAGAATCAATATTTGCAAAGTGTTTTAAAGATGGAAAATGCCAACTATAAAAGTTTGGTGCTTAAAGAGCAAAAAATGACAATCCACAAGAAATAAGCCCATTCTTTTCCACCATTAAACAGAATAGTGAAAGAAACAAATACAGAGGTGCAAAAAAATTGCTTCTAGGTGTATGCAGTAATTTACTCCAACAGAAACATCTTCAGCTATTCTCCAGAGAGACCATAGTCATTAATAAAACAAACTGCAGTAACCTTGCAGGATTTGTTGCAATCTATTCAGTCAGTGATCTGCAAACCAAAGTATACAAAGTCACAGTGTCCTGGACGTGCTGCACTGCCGTATCTCCTCTGGTGTACCCTTATCTTGTGCTCCATTGGCTAGGCGCCTTGATCCTTCTCCAGGCGGAACTCCTCAGCTCTTCCCTTCCTACGCAATACCCCAGGTTAAGCAGAACAATTTCTCCTCTTAAACCATTTCATTTGTACAGCACGCAAAATCCTTCACGTCTCACCACAGTTTCAGGATCCCAGGGAAGTGCTCTGCACTCCCTTTTATGTTCAATAGCGCACCTCTCTGAAGACACGCACGGTGGGCTGAGACAGGCAGGAGTGCAGTGCCTTGATCAAACTGAATCCTGAACAACTGCAGTACCCTCTTCCCAGAGGCTGTAACTAGGGATGTACAATGGTTATGAAGCTATCTTGAAATTAAAGTCAAGTTAATTTTATCTTCAGAAGAAAAGCACTTAAAGAAAAAGGATTTCAAAGAGCTAGCTTTAGGAAAAAAAAGCCCTTAAGAGGAAAAGGATTTTGAAGAGAAATAGCCTATCCATGTGTCCAGCAGATCTAAAAGCTTTACCAGTCCTTCATGGTAAGTGTGGTGCCTTCAGAACTCCATCACAACTATGCAGGCAGCTCTTTTGGCCTCTTGCTAGGTTTTGGGGAGTTTCTTTTATTTTTAACAATCCATCTCCTGCTGAGATGAGCTGTCACTTAAGACATTTTCTTTTCCATTCTTCTTCACCTTTTGAGTGCTCCTATTAAGCTGTCCCATAAAAAAACTTTTAAGCAGGACCACATACAGACAGAGTGACAGAAACTGGGGAGAAGGGAAGGGCTGCAGTGATGCTAACAGTGTCTTAGGAAAAAGAAGCCCAGCACGGCTAGCCACTGCCTGGGAGAGGCTACAGCCCTGTTAGCATCTCCCTTTCCCCACTCAATCCCAGCAAATGAGCCTTTGAAATAAGCAGGGTTCAATTCCTTGCTCGGCCTCAGATTTCCTGTGAACTTAGGAAATCCTTGGTTCTCTCTCTGTCTCTGTCCCCTCTGTCTAAAACATAAATAATTTCCCTGCCTCTTGGGAGAACTGTAGGCATCAACACATTCTGGATGGGGAAGGAACCCGTATCAAAAAGCCATTTAGACCCTCTAGACAGAAAAAAGAATAACTGGCTCTCTACGTAAGCATTTATCTGGTAGAATAAAAGGGCTGAGTCACAAGCAGAGACACTGATCCTACCCACAACATCACGCACAGAAGTCATATCTATCTCCTGAAGATGAACTCGGCTCAGCCACAGCTTCATCTTCTCCCTCACAGCTGCTTGCACAGGCTGCAACAGCTTTAAAATAAAAGGCAATCCAAGCTTTTTGGATCTGGTGACACACAGCACAGCCATACACTTACAGAGGATGCAGAAGTTCACATTCACCCAGGTGCCCAGACTCGGCACTCTGCAGCTCAACTAACTTGACAGACTTCACAGAGGGCTCTTCCAATTTGCGTGAGGATAAATAAAACATAAGTTAGGGAGAAATATCCCATCTTCTGCCACACAGTCAATTTATTACATGACAGAAATTTTTAGAAAGACTATCTTTCTACGGCCTAAGAAAGAGAGAAGGGGATGGAGGATGAAGGCTGCAGGATCAAGTAATATTAAACATCAGAAACACAATTGGGCCTGTATGTTCACCAGAAGCACCTCATCAGAAGAGATGCTGCAGAGTGCATCCTCCAGGAGGACTCGACTCTATGGCTAGGACCCCTCATAATAAACACTGTTAACACAAAGAGTGTGAAAGCTACACGTTGTTTCATAGCCTAGACCTACTTATCTTCTGTGCACAACTACCACAGACACTCTGGCCAGAGAGGTTTACTGCACATGAGGGACAGCTTCAGCCTCTGGTCACTGCTTTTCTCACCTGCATCATCACTGAGACATTCAATAGACATCCTCTATCCTGAGCCCTCTCCTCCAGCAGCGAATATGGTAGGGATGGAAACACAGCCATGAATCCATTTCAGACCTGCATCAGCTATGAACAGAGCCATGTCTGACGCCTTATGCAGAAGTACCTCCTACGTACAGCCAAACATCATGGCAACAGCCTGTGTCATGTATAGCATCTTCAGCAGACACTAGACAGCCGTCCAGACAGACTCACCATTCCCCATGGTGCCTGGCCCTGCGCTCTGCTCTGGGACTAAAGCCAGATGACATTATCAGCTACCCCAGCTGGGACAGTTACAAGTACCAAGAGCACTGAAGAGATATCAGTGCCATCTTCCTCTACACTGCACAACGTGGTGCCTGACATGTGGGGACACACCATGGAGTTTGCAAAATACTGTCTCTTGAACGCATTACAAAGCACTGGCACCCTTAGATAGGACTGATAGCTTTGGAGGGAAAGCTCTGTAAAACCATCTATCCAGGGATGTATGGCCTTGAACCAGGCAAATAGTTTTAGCTGGTTTACAGCTTAATGCTCTGTTTTTACTAGCACCGACAGCAGTACAGAGCTGATCAAGCCAGCATATCGCACCCTTAAATACAGAAAAGATGCTACTTCCGCATTTTCTTCCGAGGCACCACAAAGATCCTGCAGCAATGAAATGAATAAGATAAGAACACAAAGCTACTGAAGTGACTCCCACCATAACACTACGTTTCTTATGCTTTTCTTCCACGCACTGTCATGTGTCTCTTTAATGTGGCTTGCCAAAGTCAACCAGAAAACTACTAAAGGCAGAATTATTCTGCTCACACACTGCTCCTGTCCAGCCTGGTGGGATAATAAGATATATGGAACAGATCTGACACGGGAACCATCAAATACAATGTTTTTCAAGTAAAAGTTAACCAGTCAGGGAGATATCAGACCTGATGCAAAGTCAATCTGCCCTCAAAAAGCAACCCTCCCACAGAGTTCTTCAAATATGCTCTTTGATTCATTTCAAAGGAAAGTAACAACACTAAAGCAGGCTGGAAATACAGGATTACAGAGGGAGAACTGCCAGGTTTTATCAGAATTAAACATGCAGGGGAAGTCATATAGATATACGCAACATAAAACAACACAACATAAAAATGAGTTGGGGGGTTTCTTTGTTCAGCATGTCCATCAGAACAGCCCAGCCTCTAAGAGTCATACGCACAGACTTTCTGTATAGACTTGGTTCAGCTCCCACAAGCTCACCTGAAAGGTTCCCATGGCTTCTGATGGAGCTCGGCTTGAAAACTGAATATGCTGGAAAATGATCACGGCACCTCTCCCGAGTAGCTAAGGTAGACAAGCTCTCTTCTAAACTCTACCCTGTCCTGCGCCAGCTCTGATTTGGATCAGGTCAAAAAGACGCACACAACACTGATCAGCTATTCCCAGATGGAATAAATTACTCCAGTCATAAAACAGGGCCTAGAAATAAACTGGGAATAAACTGGATAAAGCTTTATACAGGCCTTGCAGGCTTGTTCTGCTTGACTTAACATTATTATCATAGGGCCTCCTCCCTGGACCCCATACAAAATGCCAGAAAAGCGGGCCTTACCAGAATGCCACTGAAGTAGCAAAAGGCCTGATTAGCAACTATCCTACTTGCTTTATCATCATACGGCTTGTAATCCTGCACCACCCCCTGGCAGGCAGAGGGAGCTGAAATTTCCCTGGCCATTTCACCTAGCTAGCATTTGTGGCCCACCCTCACAGCCAGACAACACTAAGCCCTGGGAACAAAGGAGCAGGTCTGCAGTACTCAGAGAGGCTCCCCACAAAACGGAGCGCAGCACACGCACTAGGTCCCATCCCAGTTCCACCAGCAATTACTGGGGAGGACGGGGTTTCCTTAGAAATTGAGATGTTTAGCATAAGAGCTTGAGAGCTAACCCATGAGACCTCCAGGCACAATGGATTGTCCCCTGCAGAAACGAAGAACAAAAGACACATCTTCCTTAAGGGTAAAGGAAGAAGGGGCTTTCTCTTACCCAGACCCTGGTTCTGCTGCTCCCACTCGATGGTGTCTGGAACCTGATAGGACACCCCAGCCAGCTGGGCCGCAGGGTTTTCCAGACCAGCTAGGGGTTCCTGGGAGGTCTCACCCGGAAGCGTGAAACCTGGCAGCTCGGTGTCACCCTCCATGCTTTCATCCATCGAGTCTATGTCTTTGTCCTCCTCCTCTTCCTCTTCCTCCTCCTCTTCATCTTCCTCTTCTTCCTCACCCTCTGGCCAGGGAGACACAAAAGAAACATCAGGAAAGACCCCACAAAACAGAAGGTTCATATGTCTCTGCCAGTGAGCGCTGAGACAGCCAGCTAAAACCACCTCTCCAAAGGCAGGCTAGCTGAACAAAGCTGTACCTGTTTTCTGACGTGAGACACGCTCAAAGGGGTTCATTCAGAAGGATTCAGCACTGCCTGAAGTCACTAAGTAACAACGATGTGCTGTCTTAGACCGTCAAATGCATCAGTGATGAATACAAGCACATGTATTTGTACATGTGTGTACATATCTGCACATGCATAACTACAGTGCTCCCTGCTTAACTATTTTCAGCTTAAGTGAGAGCTACTTTTGAGTTCTGAGGCAGCAACAAGTTGGTTCTATTTTTAACAGTTATTAGGCTTTTCAGAGCTCTGGAAAGGATGATGTTTCCCAGCCCAATTAGGCTGACGTGGTGCCTCCTCCATAAAGAGTGTCTTCACTTTGATACATGCTGGCAGATGAGCTCTTGGGTGTGGGAGAATAGTGATGATAGTAGTGAACCTCAACTGGTATAAACCGGCACTCTTATCACAACTGATTTACACCAGTCAGAGATATGACCAAGGAAGTTTTAACTTCGGACTGGAAAGAAGGCAGCATGGCCAACACTGTACATGGCAGCAGATGAACGCGATGCTGACAAAAAACCTGTGGATTCTTCACTAGATTAGACACGCTTCTTATTCCAAAGACCACAAAGCTGACTGGAGTGTTAACATACAGAGAGATAAATATTTAAATCACACTCAATTGCTAGAATCTAAAAAAGGTTCTCAAAAATGACAATATAAGAATGACCACAGTGGATCAAATCAAAGGCCCTTTTTGCCCATATCCTATTTCTGACCATGGCTAGCAACAGTTGCTGAAGAAAAAGTATTAGAACAAGACATGCATACAAGCAAATCTTCCCAGTTATCTCCTCCCAGCTTTTAGATATCAGCTGCTCAAAGACTTTCAGAAGTTTTGTCCAAGCCGTTCTGCTTGACAGAGCTTCCCACCATGTAAAAATAATATCCGAAATAATGACACACTTTGAAATTCCGACAGCTATTTTTGCAAGTCAAGAAACTGCAACACCATATTTATATGCTGTATCAAATTCACATGAAACTCTGTTCAACTATTACCCTGCATCTGAGGATTTGGTTTCACTAGGAGGACTAAGACTGTGATAAAAACTAAAGAGCCAGCCAAATCCATGTTGGTTATTTGGATATACCTCCATCTCTGTCAGAGTTTACCTTGTATACATTACAGATATGTCAATAAGATGGGAGTAGCTCAGGGAAGACACTTGAGAGGATACATGCATCATACCTATTGCAGATAAAGCAATCCACCAACCTAGCAGTTGAATGGTTATCCTCCTCAGACGCTGCTTCACTCTTCTCCCTCCTGCTATGAGATGCTACGTTTCTTCAATTCTAATTCAAAGATTTGCTTTAAAATACTGCAGGTTTTTTCCACCTCACCAGACAAGGTAATTCCACTCTGCCACCTTTCAATTTGAGCCCCTTATACAAATGAGCTGCTCTTTGGGTTTAGCTGCATCATCCTGCTACAGCTTGCCTTTCAGTAGCTGGAAAGGAATAATCACCCCTGCAAACAATTATATTACACAGCGCTTCTAATGGAGCTTATAGGAACATAGTTAGCCCCTTAAGCAGTTTCTGTACCCATCCTTTCAAATCTAAATTAAAATTTTCCCTATCAAACTCTATGTGCTCATACAAAATACATGGTCTCCGTAAACCCGAGAAGGGCACCTGGAGAGTGCTTGCAGGAAGCCTGCAAAGATGAGGGAACGTAGATCTTCTCCCTCTGCTGGGAGCAACATAGCTATGAACCGAAGATTTCTAAACTTTAATAGTAAAAACAATAAACAACTAAGAAACAGGAGAACAGGAGCCTGAATAAACATTTTTCCCTAGACGGACTAGCCCAGAGAAAAAAGGGATCACAGTTTACCTCTGAAAAAAACAAGTTTGCCACAAGGGGTTTTATAAGCCTCTCGTGATTGTAGCAAGCCAAATCAGAGACCCCTGACAGGGACCTAGTTTTGACAAAGAAGATGGCCAGCAGATAGATACCAAACTGCAAACTCCAGAAGGCAACTAGGCTGAACACCCTAATGGAAAGTGCCCAGACATGCTTATCACTTTGGAAAATGGCCAAGGTACATTAATCTTCATGCAGCCATGGCATAGAGACCAGAATAACACAGCCCTCACAGCACAGTCGCTGTAAGGGGAAGGACGGCTCTTGACCCTTGTCTCTCGACCCTCTGTATGTTCACGCACCTAAAAGCAGCTTTTGAAACACCCCCCTCCCCATCATGCAAACAGCTTGCCTTACTGCAAGATCCAGAGCCAGAGCAGTGCAGAGCACCACTTGGTGGACACAAGGAGGAAGTTACACTTCCAAAAAACCACAGATTTCATAACTGTTGGATTTCCAGACAGGAGGCAGAGCTGGACTGCCCGCACATCTGACCGGGGAGTCCCAGGATGGACAACGAGGCACTGCCCAACCTCACGCTTAAGGTTTGCGCATCACACCACAATGCTTTTACAAAATTGCATTTCCCTTCCTAAATCAAAGGATTTTGTTTGGCCTTTCAGAGGCCCTAACTTCTTCGCTTTGCTGAGCCCTGGAACAGGCCGCCCAGAGAGGTTGTGGAGGCTCCTTTCTTAGAGACATTCAAAAGCCACCTGGACACTATCCTGGGCAACGTGCTCTAGGTGACTCCGCTTGAGCGGCGGGGTTGGAATAGACGATCTCTAGAGGTCCCTTCCAACCTCAGTCATTCTGTGATTCTAGAGAACAGCCATATGATCACTTGTGAAAGTCTGACAGTGGTCCCAAGCATACCTTCCTTGCTGTTGCAGACACACACGCAACACAGGCAACAGTACTCAACTTCTGTCGTGAGCTGTGCTTACTGTACAGATCTTCATGGTGTTACATCCCAGCTTATATGGTTATTTTATTTGCATGCACCAAATTCTAACCCTTATTTGTTATGTGTAACGTGGAGCTAACCAGGCCCTGGAGAGACGGTATCCTATTCCCCCTTGCTGTAACACCAGGAGTCTTTAGCGCTGCAACGCTTACAATCCAAGTAGGCATTCACATTTGCTACTGTGGTAAGGGTAATGCATGAGTAAGCGGGATCAGAAATTAATTCTCATCTCCAACAGTAAGAAATTCAAAATTTGCTGCTCTTTGACAGACTAAAAATGCACTGGATTCTGCAAAGCGGACTCTGCTTTTCCTTTATTTAAACAAGAAGGAAAAAAAACCCAAGAAACTTAAATTTAAAACACCCTGCCGTGACAGCAGTACAGACTAAGAAAGATGTAAGCAGCATAAAACCCAAGAAAAATGAGATTCCCACTTCACATGTCACACAGACTTTAGCTTTTAAGGACTTAACAACCTTTTAACAGGCGTTCAGATCTTCCCGTTTAGGGAAGCTACAGAAGAGCACCAAGAAATTGAGTCTGAGATAAAATAACAAGAAACATTTTCAGCAGAGTTTCTGGGGCTTCCCAGCTTTCTTAATAGTTACCAGATACTGCAATGGTTGAGCCTTATCATGGGGCTCTAGACTGATCCATTAGCATCACTGCTGCAGCTCTAGTGTGGAATTTGCTATTTCAGCATAGCAAAAAACTCCCTATGCTGGCTTCAAAAAAAGTTTTTCACTACAAAAATATATGTATCTGGGACAAGCTCTGGGGCACAGTGGAGAGAAATGAGACCACCTCACATCATCTTCCTAAGGTGCTTCTCTGACCCAGCACAAGCCTGCAATCAGCAGTTTGCAAAGTGACTGGGCAACAGCCAGCATCCCACGAGTAAGAGCCCTAGCCCACGTTCACCGCAAGGTGACAGTGAAGGCTCTCACATATCTACAGCAAAGATGGACTTTGGCCATGTGCACCATCCATAGGAAGGAGATCATAAGGCCAGTTCTTCCTCCTGCCAATTCAAAGTGGCACCAGCCCATTCTCCACAGATGGTTTCAGGCCAGCTTCACACTTTCATAAGGACTTCACCCAGCTGCAGAAACCCAGGCTCACTCCAAGCAGAAGGAAATCTGAATCACCAGCAGCATCATTAGCACAGTGCAGTGGCTGTAAGCCCAAGCTGCAGGTGAGCAGTAATAGCAAGGCACTAGGCATCGTGCCTGCACGCACAGCCCAGACTGCTGGAAACATGGCCTTCAGGAACGTGCTACAAACTGGTTGCAAAGGCACTGAAGAAAGCTTTACTGGTACGGGGCCGTATAACAAGCTAGAACTAAATCCAGTGTTGTCGTAACCCTGCCGAAGTGAATGGAGTTACATGGGGTGGGAATCTTGGCCCTCTGTTTTCAGTTAAAGGTATCTTCGCTGCATAAAGGATATTTCTATTTTTAGACATTTCCCTTTAATATTTGCTAATGTTTTTACTCCTCAGAAGATTTAAGAAACCATCATTTATCAGGTTTAAAGCAGAAAATAAATTCCTTGCTATGCCCTGACCAGCAAGAATCTTTCATTAGAAAATGAAAGATTCATTTATAGTCGCAAAGTGAATTAAAATAAATTGTAAGAAATAAACAGACAAACAAAAGTTGCAGGGCAAACCTGGAGTTCTCGTTCTCTGTCCTTTCCCTCTACACCTTCCCTGACCCCAAACTCAAGGGACAATGATGTCTAGACAGTAGCACAAAGCATCATTGTGTTTCAGTATAGTCTCTCGAGCTGCAATTTTATATGGTACCTAGCACTGCAGGACCTGAATGCCTAAGAGCATCTGATAAGTGCCAAGTGAGTTGTGATTAATCAGCAGACAATACTAATTGGTTTCCAGTGGTGAGCACACTGTTCACATGACTTCTCAGGGAGGTGGAGCATGCCACGTCCCTGTACAAGCACCAAGCAAAACCTCCTGCAAACCGAAGTGACCA